TCAGCACGACTGGATGGGGAGCAGGGAAGGTGAGGAGAGACAATCAGGTAATTGGTTTACATTCACCAAATATCATTTGTAGGCCTTGTAACTGAGAATACAACTTTCAACATACGCAAAGGCAGGCATTTGTCATGGCCCCCTCCCTTTAATTCATTGGGAATGCGTATTTGCCACCAGGACAAGAAAAGTACATTGGTATTACTGAGGAATTATCAACCTGTCCTGCAGCAAAGGGCTAAGAGCCTGGCCCAATGCATCCTGAAATTCACAAAGATTCCTACTGACGGTAGTGGGTGTTGGAAGGGCACCAATTAGAAAGTTAAGGTTGCAGCAGAATTGTGATTAAAATAAACAAACAAACAAACATCCATGTACATAGGGCAGCTTACATTGGCAGAAGGTAGACTGTAGTGCAGATTTGGGGCCATTTAGCCAAGAGATAAACCTCTCTCTGCTCCAAAAAGTGATTTGATTTTTAAAATGGACAGGTTTTTACAGCATGCAGGGTTGTTGTAGCCATGTCGGTCCCAGGATATTAGAGACACAAAATGAGTCAGGAGCTCTCTTTTAGTGGACCAGCTTCTGTTGGTGAGAGAAGCTTTCGAGCTACACAGAGCTCTTCAGTCACCTTCTCTCTCTAGGCTCTTACAGTGCTTTGTTGGATCATAGTCACTGCAACTGGGGGAGGCTCTAAAGACAGAAGACACATCAAGACTGCATAGGCACTATTCTTGTGTCCGACATGGAAAATGCAGTAAATCAAATATTGCCTGCTTTTTGTCTGGTTCTGTGGAGCAGGCAGTTTTTGTCCTGGTACCATGCTCTGTTGCATTGGATAGGTGTCAGCATCTCAGGTTCCTCAAGTGACAGATGGAACTGGTGGACCCACCCACACTCTCACCTGATGGCTAAGGTTCAGAAGCATCAGCCATAGTGCTGCTAAGGTCTCCCACCTTCAACTCTAGGGGAGAAAAGTCACCATTCACAATAGAGAAAATAAGAGGCTTTGTAGAAGGTCTACCCTAGTACAGCTAGGAAGAGCAGACAGGCCTCCAGTGTGTGTCACTCACCTCGGCAGACTGCCTTTTGAAATATTACAAACCTTTGGATGTGGCCACACTTTTGTGCAATGCACAGAGCACCATGTTGGCCCCACTGACATCGAGGGGAGTGTTGCACATGAAGCAGTGGAGCCACTGGAACGAAGGAAGGAAAGACATTTTGTTCAGCACTGACCTATAGGAACAGCACACAGGGATCCTTACTTATCCAAAATACTAAATAAGTTCAAGAAGTCATTCATGACTCGACTCAAATCTCATGGTCTCCTTTATTATCCTATTTTTTTAAATTTTATTTTCATTTTTTTTTTGTTAAATATACCTCTGCAGGGCACAATCACATACAATCAATACGATTGGTAAATTACACAAGCTCTATCCCAAGCATATATGCACCAATGTTAAAAAGTTATTTTTAAAAAACCAAAACGAAAAAATAAAATAAATTCCACCCAAAAAGGTGATAATGACTGCAGAATGTCTCGGGGAGACCGGTATGAGCCTAAGAAACCACAGAAAACTAGGCTTACAAATAAAAGTATTTCTGTAGAGAAATCCCACAACTGGAAACAGTTAGGTGGCTTCTAAAGTGGGAACGCATGTGGTTGTGTGTGTTCTGTCTCTTAACTGTCACAGTCCTCCCACACACACCTAACACCCACTTCCCCATAGAGTGGAACAAAATGGGGACAGAGCTCTTCACATTACTATCACCGGTTATCAAAAGCAGGAAAAAAAAAAAAAAAATCAAGCTACAGTGTAGCTGATAAGCTGACCTTCAAGGAAAGCTCCTCTTAGCACAGAGGCCGCTTACCTGGCAAGCAGAAGCCACGGGGAACACAGAAATTCCTGACACTAAAAAAGCTAAGAGTCTCACGTTATTGGCTATTTTGTCCACATTGCAGCTGCCTACTTAGGAGAGGCTGCAAAGGAATGGCATAAAAATTACGAACAATGGAGCAGCTATGTTGCTAAGGGGGTTATTTCTCCTCTCCTGACTCAAGCTGTTTTCTGCATGCAGAGAAAGCTTCTGCCACCTCTAATAAAAGCTAGAAAGGAGCTCACTGCATAGGTCCAGTTGTGGGATCTATCCAGTACACAATCTGGTTTGGATGCCAAAGACTTGTGAGTATTATCTGCCACAAATTATTAACAACTTTAATGTTACAGAGAAGCAAATGATTTTTAGTTTATACCATAAACATCAAATACACCACAGGATTTTGTTATTTAGTTACAGATACATATACATATTTCAGTATATCTAATACTTTTTCTTTTCATGGACTGCGTCTCCCTTTGGTTGTACTTTCCCCAAGACAAAACTGTTTTTCTATTTTTAAATTGATACTGCTGTGTTTTCCTTTTGGCCAAAACTTCCAGAACCAGGAGGAACTGGTGAAACTTACATAACTCCAGATCTATTGGGCAAAAGCATCCAGAATCTGGTGGCTGCAGCTGAATGGAAGATGTCTGATTTTCAGAGGTGCTGAGCTCCTACTGGACTTAGAGGTTAACTTTGTGGAAGCTGCAGGGGCTCAGTAGCACTGAAGGTCAGACCACTTATTCAGGTGGCTAAACTGTCAACATCCAAGTTTGGACATTTTGGCCACAGTGTTATAAAGTTCCACCTGCACTGGGAGGCTGTTGAGGAGGAAGTCCAGTGTACACACAGGAAGAGCCAAGTTCTTCACGCACTCCTTCATTAGAAGATTTCAGAGAAAGCTCCACTCTCTCTGCTTATAGTGTTCAGCGTTCCCATGGCATGAAACCGCTCTCACCACTTATACATTTAAATGACATTAATGCTCCTTTCTCCTCCAATTAAGGTCCCATCTACATCACAACAATCAACTGCTTCCAAGGATGAGGCATGATCAGAGACACAGTTAACACCTGGTTTTTACAAAATGTAGAACCTGTGTCAGGAGACTCTGTTGGAATAAGGTCTCCCAGACCAGTTGACTTTTGACATGTAACTGAACTGGCACTTAAGCCTCTTCCCAGTATCTGCCATTTTGTCAGAAAGCAAGTAGTTGATGGTATCAGTATTTAACAATATGGTATCAGTATTTAATTTTTATATTTCATATTAAAGTTATGGTGAGAGCAAATCCGTTTCAATGTCATATGAACAATCTTGGCCATGTACTCACATACCGCAAAGGACACAAAATGTCACTTCTCAGCACCAAGACTGTGTTTAGAAGGTAGCTCAGAAGTGCTGATTAATTTTTAATATAAATTGAGATTACATTTAGCATGACAGGCCTTTCACCAGGTCAATGTCTGAATCACTATGCTGAACAAGACAGGGGAAGCGTTTTAGTATGTTAAAGAGATGTATAAACTTGTGGACAGTAGCATCAATCACTGTCAATACTGCCAATATTAGGAGATGGGGCAGAAAGTGTACATGTTTATAGACAAGTGGAGGAGAAGGAAATCAATATAACGGATGGTTATGGAGGTGAAGTCATGCCAGTTATTCTGCCTGCTCATGTAAACTACTCTATGTACTTCTCCACACTCAAACAGCTTTTGCATGGATTGGTTTTCCATTTGTTAAACAGAGGAGGCTAGCTGGCAGCACTGCTATTCAACGCTCTCATTTTTAGCACTGAATTTCTTGGTTTTTTTTATTAAAGTTCTAGTCAATCTTTGACTGAAGATAGCTTCTTGACAAAGTGCTCCCTCTTCAAAAAGCTGCCCTGAGGGTTGGTACTTATCACTGACCTGTGGCTGTCAGAATATTTTTTAAAAGCTCCACACTTTTGTGAATGGAAACAGCAAGAAGCAGAGGATTTTCTGATGACTTTTACTGTTTAGGTATTCCCCTCTGAATTTCAAAAGCATAATCTGCAAGAGATTTAAGTGACCCCATGGAAAGTAGTTAAAAAAAAGGCTTTACTGTATGTCAAACTCAAAAGCCCAATTCTTTTACTTTGCAGTTCAGTGAGTTTGTCACAGATATTAAATACTTATCAGTAGGCAACAATGTCCTTGCATGAAGTATTTGTACTGTATTTGATTTAAAGCAATGGTATAGCTGGACAGGAGTCTTGTCAGTCTCACTGGACTTCCTTAGAAGTCAGCAAAGATTCACATTTGCAGCAAACTAGTTTTTAGAAATTTTAATTTTAAACCAGCAAAATCCAACAGGTTAATCAGCAATAATGTTTATAAACATGGCTTTTTTAACTATGTAAACTTCTAAGTGCCTTCTCTGCTACCTGTAAATTAGCTGAGAGAGTGCATGGGAGTGGATGAAAGAACAAGTATGAAAGTTAGAAGACTCCAAAATATATTAGGTGCTTAAACACACCCTTTTCAAATTGTGTAACTAGATGAACTGATGCCACCATTTAACATATGTTTAAGGCTTGACAATCATTAACTGTGCAAACTGCTACCAGGAGAATACAGTCAACTCACAAAATTCTACAAAGATTTGACTATCAAAACGGCTATCCTGGGGGAAAAAGGGTGGAAAAAAAAGTAAAGCACAAGTCTTTGGCTCTCCTTTAAAGAAAAACAGCAGTTTACCATGTTTATACAGACCCCCTGCTTGCCTACCAGTAGGGGCAATATCATATTTGTGCATCACTGAGTAATAACACCATTAGAAAAGGCAACTTCACAGAAGTTATTGGCTAAGCGAATTCATTTGAATGCTCTGTTTTGAGGCAGCAAGCTGTCACTGTTGCATGATCAGGGAGGATGATGGACAAGCCAGAGAGGTGGACCAGAGGGAGATAACACAGGTCAGTAGAACCGAGACAGCTGAAGAATTTGAGGTTAAAGTGGTAACAGCACTACATGTATGAAAGGTGCTCAGATCCACAGGATTTCTATTTTGAAATGGGGCAAGGCAGCCTACAAACGGCTAGAAGATAAGCATATATAATTCTACCATTAAGATAGGGGAATTGGGGCACATGTAAGAAGGAAAAAAACCCATGATACTACAGGAAAAATGAAATTGTTTATACTCCTAGTGGGTCAACTATTTGTGTCTGACATTGTGAAGACTAGCCTGCTGTTTGAAGTGTCTCATTTTTAGGGCTCTGTGCACATTATGGTTGAAACTCTGCTAGCAACAAGCACTCAAAGGTTTGATCTACACCAGCAAATCTACCCTACTTGCCATACAACATGATAGTGCCCCAACAGTAGTCTAACACTGTTCTTGCTGGAGTAGATGGGACCAAGCCAGGATGTAGCAGTTTCATTTAACAGAAATGGACAATGTCCTGATGTAATAGGGACAGGGATAGGACACAGAAATGAGTGAAGCAGTAAACATAGCTGGTTCATGGGAATTTAGGTCATCTGTTTTAACAATCAGTCCTTGCACCTGAAGAGTGATGGGTTCTCAGCTCTGCTGGCAGGATTTTTCCACAGAAAGTGGATTTCAGGTACTGTCTTCGTGAAAACAAAGCCTTTTTCTGGTTCCCTATTTCCCTAGTTTTATCACCTAAACTTCTCCACAGAAACATAGGGAAAGGGCAAGAGCAGGAGAAAAAGGAAACAAAGCCAAAATCAATAAGGTTTGCACATATTAAACAGACTAGTTAACAAGCCAAACTACAATGTTGAGCAAACAGGGCATTCACCTGGAGAGACTGATCACAACAAGGACACTATGCACAAAAAGTACAGCACAAACAGGGGAAAAAACAACATTAAAGGTACTCTTTCTAATCCATGGGTTTAGGAGCATTTAGCCTTGCTGACCTACGTGTAGTGATCTGAACAGTTCTTACTGTAGAATTTTTCTTTCCCTAGGCTTAGAGAAAAGAGGGTCAGTTCTCAACTGGAAATGCAATTAGTTGGCACAACAGATAATGGGCCATAATTTTTTTGCTCCCTCCAGATTTTCTTCCTACGGTGGAGGAGAATGTGCCATAGCATGCAAATTTTTTGGTAATTTTAATTATTTTATGTAAAGAAGATTTTTCTAGTCAAAAGTAGAAAATCTGGCATTCTGCACTTGCCCTCCTAGGTTAGAATACTGCACTAAATTATCTTGACTAAAATGAGCTTGTGTTAATATAAACACAGCAGAAAAAAAAGTTTCTTAAAAATAACGAAGTCAAAGCTGACCTGGTGGTGGTGATCTTCACTTCAGGAGTAGAGACCACAGCATGGGTACCTGAATCAGCTCACTCACCAGCATGCTGTCAAGACAGCACACTGAGCCCACCCTAACAGGGAGAAGGATGGAACAGAAATAATCTCTCAGCAAAGTCAGCCCAGTCCTCTTAAACTGGAAGGATGGAGGCCACGATCAAGGAAGGGTGCAGGGTGTAAACATGTGTGAGTGGAAGAATTAGTGCAGCTGGTGAGAATCCAGGGCAGAGAAGAGTCTTCCTCACAATCAAGGGAAAAAAACAAGCCTCAAAACTGCTTTCTTCAGCAATTCTGAGGCCAAAGTTAAGCTAAGAGTGAAATAAACGTGCACGAATGCACGAAGAGTGTGGCTGTGAGCTGAAAATGCTTTATCTTCGTTCCGTGCTTCTACCTCCCAATCAGACATTTGATCAGAACAGCTGCGCTCATGTGAAAAAATTCTTAAAACATACCCAATATATATACAGATATAACTATGTATATATGTATATATATATACACATTTATATATATAAATTTTTATTTAAATAAAAAAGAAAGCTCGAATCCCAAGCCAATATGTGTATCAAATCCTTGACCAGCCAGGTCTGTAGGGCATAATCAAATTCAATGTGAAATAGTATATAAATGCGGTGCCTTGACTGGGCAAATTAAATAATCGCTACTCAAAAGAGTCTTCTGTTTGGACACTCTACTGGTAGGCAATAGTGGGACTGTATCTACCCCCTCCCCCATTTTGTTTAAATTAACAGTATAATGGATGCAAAGCTTAGTCCAAGGTTCCTACGACCTCAGCAGGAGTTAAGGGTTAAGAAACAACTAAACAAGAAAAGTATTAACTCTTGCTTTTACCCAACCAAAGCAATGCAATAAATTTATTACATAACCAGTGCTTTCTGATTTAGTAGTCTAATCCAGAAAGAAAAAACAAAAAGCAGGCCACACGGGCATGGAGGGAGCAACACTGAACACACTCTTCTCCACTGAGTTTTCTATTCAGAGGGGCTCAGTTCAGTGCAGGCAGAAAGGGTCAAAATACATGCAGCAAGAGCAAATCCTCAAAGATTTCTCTGCCTGTTAAGAGGAACTTCTCAGTGGAATGATACCACACAGAACTGAAAGGCTTGTGACTTCTTAAACCCGCTTCCATTCAGGTGTCATCTCCACCTACCCACCTCCATTGGGAGACTGAGCAAATGACATAGGTCACAAAAAAATCCTGGCTTTCAAGTATTCCAAATGCTTCTGGCAGGATCGCTGTTGGACCTGAAGTGGCATTTCTGGATGTAACTTTTCTCCGACAGAGAAGAAATGCTGGCTTCTGAAAGGATTCCATGCAGCAATGACAGACAAAGCTAAAGAGCAGCAGCTGGATTTCCAGTCATTGCTGTCCAATTCTGGTATGCATGGATCGTACCAAGCATTACTATTACTTCTACACTTGCCCTCCTCTACTTTTGCTAATTGCCAAGTTTTGTGCATGTAAACGAAAGTTCTCTTCCTCTTCCCATGAGAAGCCTTCACTGACACCACAAACAAATTGCAGGCCAGAGGTGGCAGATTATAAAAGTAGAAGACTTATATTTATACACAAGCAGCTCAGTAATTAGCAGTAAGGGCAAAAAAGCTATAATTGAAATAGTTAAAAAAAAAAACGCAAATGGAAGGCCTGTTCCAAAGCTCAGAAGTCAATGGAAGTGTCTTTACTGACTGATTTCAGTGGGCTTTGGATCGGGTCCATAACAGGTAGTCCATGCCCTTTCTGAAGCAATCCTAGATGCTTTCATGATTGGAAGAGGCTGGGCTACAAAAAAAGACCCTTTATAAAAGGCTATCTTCCTATGCCCTAACAAAGGAAACTTCCATCTTTCTAAATAGCGGCTGATGAAAAAGGGTCTTTGCAAGCTAGTTCTCAGTTATTTTCCTTCCTTAAAATCTGTGTTCTCGCTCTCTTTTTACCTTCCTATTGCAAGGGATGGAAACTTTTTGGTGCCTCTGTCATGTTGCTCAGTGACAACTGCTGGTTGGCCAAGCAGCTCAGGCACCAGACAACTAATTTCTTCAATTTCTCCTGGAAGTCTGAAACATACAGGTCTCAACTAGTTGAGGCCCTCTGTCCTTTACTGAACTCTAATCCCAACCACAAAATACAATGTCATATCAGTTCCTAGTTAAATAAATGTAATGTGCATACACCACTCTTTTTGCTACTGCTTAAATAATAGCCTTGGGGATACATGCTGCAGTGGGATGAATATTATGGAATGCTTTCACTGAGCTGAGACGATTGCATCAACTGTGGCTAAAAGCCAATGGGTATAAGTAGAAAGGTATTGTAGGCGTTGAAGAGAACTCCTAGTTACAAGAAATTCATTTTAAAAACCTACTGATGTTTGCTGCATGTTTTCTGACACTGCAATTCATAGCCTCCCTCCATCCTATGTCCCTCATTCACCTTTAAATTCATACAAGGAGGCGGCCAACGTTGTTCTGAGGTGAAAGGGAGTGGAGGTGGTAAGGAATTATACACTGGGTATGTAATAATACCAAAGTAAAAGAAAAAACCTACTTCATTAAGATCATACAATTAATCAAACAGAGTATATATATATAATATCTTTTTTTTAAAGCCCTGGATCCAAGGCGTCCGAAGTTATTAAAATAAAGTTCATTCACAGAACAAAAACAAATTTAATCTGAATTGCTTGCAGATACTGCTAATTTTTTTTTAATTAAAAAACGCATTAATGTGAACTATGTGCAGGGTTTGTTTCTAGTAGTGGTGTTTGTGCACATTGCCTCCGGACCTCCTGCTGCTGCTGCTCCTGCATTTCTCTGACCACCTTTAGAGGGAAGCGTGATGGAAGCTACCAACTCCTCCTCCCCAATAGAAACTCTGGGGGGATGCTTTCCTCACTTCATGGAGAAGAGGTGGGTGCAACTCCTGTTCTCTGGGAGTCCTGATGGTCTCCTCCCCCCTCTGGGTCCTCTGACAGGTTCAGAGATGTGGTCTTGTTTGACAGGAGGCTGATGTTCTCTTGCGTCAAGACTGATCCATTTGGAACATCACTGTGGAAGGAGGGATGCAGAAGGAGAAAAGGAGGATAAACAGATTTTAAAAAACTGTACAAGGCCCTGACTATTGTTGCTGCAGTGTCACAATGACCATCTGTGACTATTTCACGAGATAGGCACAAGCTTGCCTTGTACAATGAATCTATTTACTTTTCACGAATACTCACCAGATCAGAAAAAATATACATTAAGAATAGTGGAAAAACAAACAACACAATAAAGGAAAAACTGTACAGTTTCTTTAACAGCACTCAATAGTATCCATTTTATGAAATACATATAGAATTAACTACCACTCAAATTATACACTGCATAAACATAGTATTTAATGTAGCCTCTCCCCTCCTCCCCCCCCAAAAATAATTTCCAGAACCGTTTTTCGAGATACTTGTGGCTGTTTAATTATTTCCATAGCGGAGATGGAAATTGCCATTGTACTAATACTTCCCTCTAGTGGCTTCCGTTTCATGACGTAGACTAGGGCAGATTGTGCAGGGCTGAGAAAGGGGAAAGCGAGGACTCTACTAAAAAAAAAAAAATTGTGAAGAAATCTTCATTTTATATTTTAACTGGCTAAACTACAAGAGGTTTGGCTACATTTAAATTAATCACTGAATTTAAGTTATGGTACCTCAACCACTCTGAAGGTCTCTAATTTCTCTGGACAGCTAAATTATCTCTACATTCTCTCCATTAGACTCCAACGAAGTGGTGCTATTATCAGCTATTTAGGACCCTACTGTCTTGACATTTGAGTGTCTGTTAGGATGCAAAAAATATTAATATTTTAGCGATTTATTATTTTTTGCAGTTAGTTGTAGAGCTTAGAATAACTTCTAAATTACACTGGAAAGAAAATTAAGTGTGAATACAGCAACATTACATCACAGATTGAGAGCTGTCCCTCTGCTTACCCGATGTGCAAAAAAATTCAGAAATCTGTAATAGCTGGTGTTTAACTTGACCACGAAGCTAACTAAAAATCTTCACTGATTTCCAACCACTGAGCCAATATTTAAATTATCTAACTGAAATAATACAGACTAGTTTTACTGACAACTGCAAAGCTTGTGCCCTTCTGTTCACAGTGGAGAGAAGCCACTGTAGTCTTTTCTAGTTCAACTACATCTGAAGTAATGACCTTACTACTGTTGTAACCAATGCTTGTAAAACTCCTGAGATGGCGGATGTGCAGACCTATAACATTCCAGCCAACAGCATATTGCAATGCTTTTTGTTTATAGTGTAGATGCAGTCCTAGTTCAAGACACACACAGATCAATCACCATTGGAAGCTTCGTGCAGGCGCAAAAGCAGAATTTTGCCCTATTTTCAGTATCTTCATAAACATCCCCATTTCACAGTTAATGCCCCCAAAATATTCCTGCTATTAAAACCAGAATAGAATAAATTTGTTTTATGTGGGACTAGTTAACAGTTCACACACACACACACACACACACACACACACACCCCTTCATTTCATTCCTCCACTTGGCTGAAATCACCCCAAATTCATGGTAATACTATAAATTGAATAATTCCATTCTTCACTAATGTATACTCAATATAAAAATGATACAAAAGAAACAGGTATCTGACGCTCTTTGTATTCCAAAGAGACAGCCCTGACTAACTTATCCTCTAAGAACCAATGGAAACTCCTGTTACCTGAACGTCAGTGTGAGGTCCTCAGCTGGAACCTTGCTTTGTGGTTCTAGTTGTCCATTTTCTGTCTGTTTATTGGTGCCCAGGTTGCTTTTCATGTCCAGTGAAGACTGGGTCTCCTTTGAAAGAAGAGGACAGAAAATATTGTTTCATAATATAGAAATTCTGTGGCTTCATTCCATGGGAACAGAAGAGAATGCCTGTAAATCTTGCACAAAGCACCGCACAAAAGCCAAGAGACAAGAAAATACACATTCAGAAGGATCTGTCCATCCACGCAGGATACAGAATTTTCCAAAAGATAGGAATGATTCGTACACTGTGAAGCAAAGACCAAGAACTTTAACACCACAGGCTGAGTACTGAACACTGGCCCTCTCCTGAATGGAACGGCAAAATTCTTATGCATGTTACACCACAGTATGTGTTGTCAGCTGAAAGGCTACATTTATAACCAAAGGAAGACTGGGACAGCAATTTGATACTAAGTTTGTAGTTAGCTGCCCAATTACAAAATTAATCCTACTTTTGTTTTCAAAAGACTGCAAAAATGAAGTTGAATACTTTAAGCACATTAGAATTCAAATCCTGGACACAAACTACTACTAACCTAGAGATTTTGACTAATAAAATGGTGACAGGGAAATGACTAACACTGGTAGCAGTCCTCCAGCAGAGAGCCTTACTGGCAAGGGTTAATGTGCTGCAGCCAACCAAGCAGCTCTACATTCCACCTTGCCACGTCCCACACCCACAGCACTCACCATGCTCAGCTCACGGGTTCTCTTCCCGATTTCCCTTTCCACCTGGTGCAGTTCCATACTCAGCTGTTCACTTGAGATCATTGCAGGCCATTTATGAGGTGGCGGCTGTGGCTGGCCTGCCAGGGTGGTCGCCTCCCTCTGCAACAGCAGCCTGTTATTAACAGCCTAAATGCATAAAGCCAAGCACATACACAACTGAGCACACAACAAACCATGCGCAGAGTTGGACCAGGCTGTAATTCAGGAGTGTTGCCTAGTTGCAAAACCCAAGCCTTCCCTCCCCTTACATGGGTTATAATGTCTTGACTTTGAAAGCACTTCCAACAATATTTCAAGGTGTCTCTCTTACATCCAGTTAAAGGTCTTTTTTTGCGTTGTTTTTTAAAAAAAGATGTCAGTATTTAACATGCAGTTATTTTAATATTGTGACAATAGTAAGGGTTGTTGTGCCCCGATTTTTATTTTTCATTTGCAAATGAAGCCATAATACATTCCCATGTGTAAATGTTCTTTTGTGAACTGTTTGCTCAACCAAAATTCCTGAAGGATAAGCAAACCCATGTCCTTGGAATAAGAAGCAAAGGGGTTTGCTACAGTAGAAATCACTAAATCCCTACAATATAAATAAATGTAGTTAGACTATTACTACTTTTATAACATTGTTTGAAGATCCTAAGATGGGAGGTGCTATGTACGTACAGGCAATGAATAGTTCTTCCCCAACCCATGTGAGGAAGTGTGGCGGAACGATGAAGCACAGGGAGATCAAGGGACTTGCTCAAGATCACACAGTGATTAAATGGGAAACCCAAAAAGCAGAGCATAAGACTGAGTCCCAGTTCTGTACTTTAACTGCAAGGCCATCCTTCCTTATAGTAATCACAGATTACTGGTCTACAGTTAGCACAGACACTTCTCCATTACAGTAAAACGTATATGGCCAAGGCTGGTTTATACCCAAAGTTTTGACCTACCCATCTAGTACCTTAAATGGGAAATGCCTCCTGGATTATAAATAACTAGTTGCATCTAGAAAAACATGACAGCTAAAGCTCCTGTGACCTGAACAGCAGCTTTGCTCTCAAGGTTTTAAACTTATAGTTAATGTTCAACATCTAACCATTTAGGATGTAAGACAATCAAGATCAATTATAGTGGTTCGTGGGGGAGAGAAGCCAGGTACAGGTTTTGAAACTTTCCAACACTCCTCCATTAAGGTACCAGCAAAGGCAAGCATGCACCATTTAAATACAATTTCCCTCTTGTTCCTGAATAAGAGCACAAGAACACAAACAAGTCACTTTTCAAGTAACTGGGAAACGTGTGCTTCTTGAAATGGTCATTGCCACTCAGACATTGTGAGTGCCATTAACACCTAATAAATGCACAATGAGAACTCCTGCTTTAGGAACCAAGCTCTTACTAGAGCAAAGACTTCTTAACAAATAATGATCTTTGCTGAGAGAAATCTCAATCTGACTAGAGGAGAGGTGCCTTAGGCCTTGGCTACACTTGCAGCTGTACAGCGCTGTGAGGTAAACCTGTCTTCGTACAGCTGAGTAGGGAAAAGCGCTGCAGTCTGTCCACACTGACACTGCTAGCACACTTGCAACATTTGCAGCTGTGTTGGGAGCGGTGCATTATGGGCAGCTATCCCAGCATTCATGTGGCTGCAACGTGGAGGTGGGGTGGATTGTGACAGGGAGGGTGGGGGGAGAGAGAGTGCTTTTTGGAGCATGTCAGCTCTCTATTTTGCAAGTTCCGAACTCCCGGCCCCCTGCTCATTCATTTACTCACTCAAAGCAAGCTGCAAACTGTTTGCTTTTCTCTGTGGTACGAGCTTTGAAACCGGCACTTCTGCATTCCTGCAGCCGGTCACAACAATGGAGAGGATTGGCCACTTGACAAGGTGATTAGTACAGCGCTGCAAGCGTTTACACTCACACCCGTGGTCGTAGCCACTCTGCTGCAGCTGTTATTCCTCTCGGAGATGTGGAGTACCTGCAGCGGTGTATGCAGGGAGATACAGCACTGTAAGTGCCCTGCCAGTGTGGACGGGGAGTGAGTTACAGCGCTGGGGAAGGCTTTACAGCACTGTAACTTGCAAGCGTAGCCAAGTCCTTAGAGTAGTTCTCCATTGCTTTCTGTAGGAAGATAAGGCTTTCCCTTCCAGAAAAGGTCAATAGTACAGTAACTAAGCTTTCCTACAGCAAGAATTCCTTAATTTTGTTTTACAACTCCCTCCTACCACAAGGTCCCATAAAATGAAGTAAAGCTACACATACTGCTCATTGTTCCTTTTACAAATATAAACTTCCCATACCATCCCTCTGTGCAGAAATTACACTCATTTTAAGTAGACTTCAAAGTTGAGCTTTTATTTTTAAAGTTAAAAAACTTTAACATCTATTTTGTTCAGTTTTGTGGCTTGTGCTGTTTAGGAAGAAAAGGGCTACAGCACAAAGCCAAACACCACACAAAAGGGTTTAACTTTCTACAGGTAGAGTCTGATTAACTCAAAATCTGAAAAGCCAAGAGCTTTATTTGCTTATAGATTATTGGGCCCAGAAAAGACCACGAGAGAGAAAAAGTAAGCAGACATGAACACACATACACGGTATGCTATCTGTAGACTACAAATTAAATTTAAAAAAATATATTTAAGAGCAAGCAAGTCCTCAGTTCCTGCTGCTAAATAGTCAAGGGTTTTTCCTTTGTGCTGAAGTGCTGGGAAGTCCTGATGTCAGGTATCATGGATTTCAATTTTCATACTACGTTCAATATGAGAGAAGAGTCTCTGGCTTATAGTAAGCAAACCTGCTAACTCCATCTCTCTCCTGCTCTCTCATACCCCTTCCAAGGCACAGGTACCAACCTCCAGTCCTCGTAACTGCGTCTGCTGGCTGATCTGATGGTTTAGTTGCTGCAGTTCCAGCCTGAGCTGCTGCTCCCTCTCAGCTGACGGCAAGGGTTTCCCGTGACTGGCCACATCTGACATGGACAATCTCTCCCTTTGAGGGGCAGGAAAGGGATTGGAAAGAAAATAGCTTTACTAAGTTTGGTAATGAAGAAACTACTATAAACAGAATAAGTACAGACAAAAAGAGTGAGCATGTGCCTGAGATAGACATTCCCACCTGTCACTGAAGCGTCCCTGAGAAGGTATGTTTTGGTGGGGTGAATATGGAGAAGCTCCCCAGCCGCCATGAGTTCCATACGGACTGTAATCTGCAAAAGAACAGAAGGAGTTACCCAGATAACACATGCCATGTTACAATGCTTTGAGTTACAGAACTATCCCATACAGGGCCGGCTCCAGGCACCAGCCTGGCAAGCAGGTGCTTAGGGCGGCCGCTCCGGAGAGGGGCGGCACGTCCAGGTATTCGGCGGCAATTCGGCGGACGGTCCCTCACTCCCGCTGCTTGGGGCGGCCAAAACCCTGGAGCCAGCCCTGATCCCATATATAATCCAATAGACTGGTATATAGTTTGCAAAGAATATCCGTAATAGCTGGGAAGAAAGATTACTTTAACCGCCAAAATGCTTTTTCCCATAGGCATGCTATGCCTGAACTCTCTCATATACAGATGGTAAAAAAATCATCATCATCATCATTCCCCAGCTCCCTGCAAGTACAGTAACCCTTGTAGGAAAAACAGGTGGAGGAGGCTTCCTCACTGAAACACAAGGCCAACTGGCATTTCCATCCATAATTTATTAATCAGAACCTGGTAGCATCAGGTACCATTGAAGATTCTGACAAAACATTTCCTACGACATTTTTTACCTGCACTATACTACCACACTAAAAATAAAACTATGCTAAAAGAAAAATAACCATGTGTAGCAGTTATACCTGAAATGTTGATAGATTTGGTGGAAGCTCCCTGTACCGCCATGGCCTGCATGGGGCCAGAACTCTGGTACATTGTTTTGGAAGTACGCGAGATGGCCCCAAACCTTGACACAGTTGGCCGGTCACCAAATGGGATGAGGTCATCGTCCCCAGCTTCTGCTGCCCTTCTCTGTAAGTCCAACCGCTGGTCACGCATGCCTTTACTATCTATGTTCTGGACAAGAGGTAAAGAAAAATAAAGTTGACCACAGCAGTAACAGAATATATGAAGTGTCTCTTTCCTTGCTGCTTGTCTTCCAGAATGTGCCAACACCAGTATGGACAAGTCTTGCTCAGGGTATCTGTCAGGTGGTAGCTTATCCATTATGGGATTTTTGCACCTGGTTCCTTCCTCTCAGCATCCAGACAGGCTTCCTGTTTTGTCAAGTCAGAACTCAGAACAAGCAATGACCACACCTAGATAAGGAAGATCTACAAAGAAACTAAGATGGAGGATGGCTCTGTTCTCAGTGGTGGCAGATGACAGAACAAGGAGCAATGGTCTCAAGTTGCAGTGGGGGAGGTCTAGGTTGGATATTAGGAAAAACTTTTTCACTAGGAGGGTGGTGAAGCACTGGAATGCGTTACCTAGGGAGGTGGTGGAGTCTCCTTCTTTGGAGGTTTTTAAGGCCCGGCTTGACAAAGCCCTGGCTGGGATGATTTAGTTGGGAATTGGTCCTGCTTTGAGCAGGGGGTTGGACTAGATGACCTCCTGAGGTCCCTTCTAACCCTGATATTCTAATACCTCAAGTTTCTAATACTATGACAAAAGGGGAGAATCGTGGGGGACAAGAGTGAGGAGGAGAGAAGGCACAGCCTACTGGAGTGAGTGGCCCTCCTTCCAAATTTCAAAGGCAACCCTTCTGGAACTTGGCAGCTGAAGTCCCCATCAATTAATGGCCTCTCCAAATTCCATTGAAGTGGTGGTGAGGAAACAAAGGTAAGCTGCCCCAGGAACCGATCCAGGGAGGAAGTAGCCAGGATGCTCGCCCCTAAATGCACAGAACCTTGAATCATGCTATTCAGAGAATTAAAAAGAAGTCACTTAGAGATGTCCTACCTAACAAGGAGGGCTGTTTGGAGGCAATTGCTTTGTCCCCTGGTATCTTTGGGAGGCACCGGATGGCTGCCCTTGAGGTTTAGGAGGCACAAACTACAGTAGTAATTTGAGTAGCACCCACTCTAAAGAGCTGTTTAACAGCACTTTTCACCTTCCTATCCAGGTGTCAAAACACGACACAGTGTGTCCTCAGGCAGGTCTCTGGACTCAGAATGGGAAATTGTAAGTTCACCTTTGGGTGGAGTAGCTACAAGTCCTGAAAGTCAAGGCTGCCCTTGGGGGGGAAATATGAGCCCCTCCCCCTCATCCCTGTAGGATTTCTGTTCTAAAGAGATAAAGGTTTCATTACATGAGTGACCAAGTAACCCCACTCCTCTGGCGTGACCCTACTATGGTTTTCCAGGAAGGAAAAAGGATCTTAGTACAGGAAGATGGTTCAGATCTGATTCTAGCTCACTCTCTTTGAGAGACTATGAGAGAAGAGAAGGATGAGGCTTTTCCTGCCCCTAGGAAAGAAGTCTCTTGAATGGACAACAGGAAAAGGGGCTCAGGAGGTCACCTGAACCCAATGATGAGATTCTTGCCAAGCTTTTTCAGTGGAAGGGTGAAAGCAGCGAGGCAGCAAAGGCCCTATTTATTTATTCAGTATATGGCTCAGATGGAGGAATTTCCTTTGTGGTGATGAAAAGCAATTCCCTCCCTCCCACCCATGAGACTGGATGACGCACTGAAGGTGGAGGATATCTTGTCAGCCCCCATCTGTGACCTGGTCTTTCTGGGTGGTGGAGGGAAGCAGGGGAGAAACTTAGAAGGACCTGCAGGACAGCTCCCAAGTCCATAGAGGGCTGTTGAAGTAGAAAGCAATTGCTTCATTTAGAATACCTCCTGCCACTTCCCAGACCTAGCAGTGGCAATTCTGCATGGTGAGAATGTGCAGGACAAACAAAAAGGACCAGCTGCCCAAAGCTGTAGGGGAAAGGCATTTATGGTGCTTCTTACCCTTCCTTTTTTGGGAGTAAACCAATTTTGCCTTCCCCTGATCCACATAGCTCCACTGAGGTCAGAAAGATGGAGGGCAACTCAGCAGTGAAGCACCAGGTGCAGCTGCTTCCAGTAAGGCAGGAGAACAACTGGGGAAACCTGCCTGCATGCAGAGGAGGAGGAGGAGGAGCTGGTCAGAAAATCCTGTCAGTCAGACAGGTGGTAGCCAGATGATAGATGAGAACTCATTCATACTGGTAGCAGCATATCACAGAATGATGAGTTCTGAAAAGTAGTTTCATCCAGTTGTCTTTGTCCTAAGACAGGTCACCATGACATAGGACAGTGAAGAAATGAGGTGGGATATACAATAAAGGGGAGGGAACACGGGAATTCTTCATAAAGAACATTCCTCCACCTCCCCCACCCCCTCTCAAAAAAAAGAGAACTGGCTTCTGCTTCATTTACAGTCACAATGAAGATGAGTTATACATATACGTTTTTCAAAAAAGCAAACATATTAAGGTTGTGTGTGACTGCTTCAAGTTTACTAAGGACAAATTTCAGCACTTTCTGAATGTTTTTCTAACTAGGGGTCATGTGGAAATGTGGTGTTATTGCAAGATCCATGCCTTATTCTTCTTCCCTTGCAATCACTGGCTCCCAATAAATGTGATACCCCATCAGGGATCTTCCTGGCAAAATCAGTCCTGCAGAAATATAGCACCACTGAGGCATGCCTGTTTGGGCCACTTAGTTCTCGTGCAGGGGAACAGGAATTATGTTTTTAATTAAATTTTTAAGAATTCTCATATCCTTTAAAACAGAGCAATTCCAGTCAATAGCAGCTTTGGATTGTGTGTAAGAGAGGAATCAGAAAAATGCTGAAAGGCACTCAGGACAGTACCAGACTGCAGTATCATGTTACATTTGCAGCACTTCGGAGAAATATTTGGGGTGTTCTCTTGGTCCTGGACCCCAAAAAAGACGGTCACTGAGCTAATCCACAAAGCAAAAAACAACTAAACAGTGTTAACTTGAACCATGACCATAAAAGCACCCAGAATGTTTTTAAAACCTCAGGTCTTCTTCCATCTCAGTGAAGGAAACAAAAGGTGAGCAGCTCCAACTAATTAGGACTCACTACAAATAATTTCTGGACTCCAAATTAGTGTTGAGAAACTGATGACATAACATCATAGTATCTCGCTCACTAAGTGGCTTCAAGTTGGATAGGAGCTATTAGTTTATACTTATACCCAGAACCGAGAGAACAAACAGATAAATAGAAATGATATTGTGGCTTTGGAACAATTTCTCATTTTGAAAACAGAGCATTTTGCTGCAACTGTAAAACTATCCCCGACTGTCAGATACATTTGGTCTGAGAAAGAAGCACATGCTGCAGTCAGTCTAGCTAATAAATAAAGGAGGTCCCTCACAATTTAACTTTTTTTGCATTCTTGCATCCCAACTTACCGCCATCTCTACACTCCCTGCTGCCACAACATCTTTGGGTTTTGCATCTTTGGTTCCAATGTAGGAGCCAATGGTGTCACACGACCAAGGAGAGTACTGGCTATAATCATTTCCTTTGTATTTCCCAGCTACCTTCAGGTCTTCATCCGAGTACTGTACAAAAACAAAAACCTGGTTCTGTAAGTAAAAGACAGGAGGCGTATCGCAGGCATTGTTGACTCCTGTGACACAGTTCACTTCAAGCAAGATGCTGGCAGGACTTCAACCAGATGTACTATAGGAAGCTGCAAACTTATATTTCATATTATTTGTGAAATTCAAATCACCTGGCTGGACTCCCAGTATTAAATGTTCAGTGCACAGCAAGAAGAGGTAACATTTTGACCTTGATCTAGTTGAAGACTTGCCTTATTACTTAATTCTATCCATATCAGGTGTAAATAAAGCCAAGCCTAGCAATGGTATTCCGGTCATTAACATAGACATTCAAAACAATCTAATAGTGCCTCCACACATTAAAGCAGCAAGATCGCTCTCATGGCTGCATAAATAGGTAACTAAGGACCACTGATAGATCAGAGGTATGATGGAGAACCAAGAACAGTCTTCCTCAGATGTCACCATATGGACCTCCGTAACTGGAGCACAAAGGTCTCCCTAAAATGTGTAATATAAGATCCTAGGAGATTTATTATTGTTCAGTACTGTGCTAACTTGTTAATCTACCCTTTCTTATCCCATAGGCTCATCTTAGCCTTTCAGAAGGTCATGATCAGTGAAAGAAACTCACTTCTTAACACTGCATATTCCTTGTGGCATTACACCCCATATTATTCATAGTAATATTATTGAGATATGGTTATGGCATAGCTGATGCATTTTATGCAAGATGGGTCATATGAGATATCATTGAAAAGGTTATGATTTACTGAATATGATTATCCTACTTGTATGCATGTATCATATTGGTATCTGAAGTTAGGAATATTGTCTATGCATCTATTACAAATGCGTTTACACCTGGAGAACGCCCACTAGGCAGAATGCACTCAATCTAGATGGCTGGCAGGCAAGGGCCATTAGGGAGAACAATAGGTCTTAGAAGAGGCTAATCTCCCACCCAGAGCCTTCCTGAGGATGCTACAAACATCCTTCGAGTCATGGCTACTGTGTCCCTACAGGGGCATGAGATCAAGTCACTTGGTACTGGACTCCATCTTGGAATACCAGTGTTTTTCCACTGACCGGGCGTGGGAACCAAAAGGGGAGACAAAGGGTTCCCGCCATATGCAAACAATATTTAAGGCATCATCATGGTTCTTCACTGACTCCCTGCCCAAGAAGATTGCAGGAAACACCTGAGGAACAAAGACTGCATGAGGGGAGAAGGGCTGAACCCAGGCTAGAGGGATTTCTAGCCTGTGAAAGGAATATCTGGGGTTTTAAGCTGCAAGCAAGTGCAGCTTGCCCTCAAGAATTTCTGCAAACTGCCTAAAACAACAATTAGGGTGACAATTTGCTGCTCATATCCAATCTCTTTAATATATTAAGCTTAGATTACCTAGCAAATAAACAAAAACAATCTGCTTTGATCTGTTTGTTATCCCTTACAAATCACTTAAGGTCTATCTTTTGTAGTTAATAAATTTGTTTTTGTTTTGTCTAAAACCAGTACCTGGAAATCATAACTGGGGGCAGAAAGCTGTTGCATATCTTCCTCAACATTAAGGGAGGGAGCAAATTTCATGAGCTTACACTGTGCAGTTGGAGTGGGTGCATGCCGTAGGAACTGGGAGGAGCCTTAGCTGAGCCTTCCCATGCAGAGCTGATCTCAGCATGTGTGTAGCTGCAGCTGCGTGTCCCCCTACCTGTATGTGCACTGGAGGGGGCTTGAGGGCCTGTCAAAGCAGTACAGTGTAAAGAAAGCCTAGGCGGGCTCAGTGGTACCCCAGTTCCAGGAGGCACCCCTGGGGGGAACCCATCACACCCCTAAACTAATTTATGACCATATCAGCAACCCAAAAGCTTGGTTAAAAATATGCTTACCTCCTCTGGGTGGAAGGGGTGAGTCAAAGTTGGTGACGGTGCAAAGGGAGGTGGGGAGATCACCTTCCTTTCTTCTAACTGGGCCATGATTTCCTTCCTTCGACGATGAAGCTCATCCAGGCTGGGATGGGTTTGAGATGGAGGCGGAAGTCGGTTATAAGGCTCCTAAAGTTTTAATATAAACAACTTGTTGAGTAACTTACGTAACACATAAAGTAGAGCATCACCACCCTACAAGACGAAAAATGTGGTAAAAAGAAATATCTATCTCCTATCTAACACCAGAACACAGTTCACATTGTAAGAAAGGGGGGAAGGGGGCAGAAAAAAAGGCAATTCTATTTGCAAGATACTTCTCTACACTTTTGCCTGAATTTAGTGCTCATTAAAGTTGTCCTGGAGACTGCAACATCTTAGTCACAGAGAGAGTTCACATGGGTGATAATGCAAGCTTCCCTAGAAATACAGAACATATACAAGCTGCCAAAACTGATTAGACCCCCATTAGTGCAGTGTGTTCTAGATTTTTTGACCCTCAACCCACAAAAGGGCCAAACATTTGTCTTGCAAACCACACTCCTTTTTGGGTGGTGTGGAGTAGCTAGCTTTCAAGTGTCTGTGCATTCCAAGGTGAAGAATGCCAAAGCTGTCATTCATCCTTGGGTACAGTAGCTGTACAACTCTGCAGGATATAACCTTACCTCAGTTAATTAGGATATCTGGAGATATTGTATATTTTATAACAGAATTATACCACTTGAACAGGTTTATCAAATCTCTGACTTGATGAAGCTACACACTGGGTAAGCTGAAAAGTTTAAGTTCATTCATGGACCCGATAATGGGATACAGAGCCCTTAATCCCCACATCACTCATTTGAATCTAGCTATGTAGTGAGTGACTATTTTCATCAAGTGGTTTATGGGCAGCAAATTTGGTCTCTTTCAAGTTTCCATTGGACTGATGTCCACACAAAACCATAACACATGGATACTCCAGTTGGCAATCCCAGTCAAGGGCCTAAGTATAGAATGGTCATGAAAGCAGAATTCCTGGCCCATTCTGGAGGCAGTCTCTCCAGGTCAAGAGTGGGCAGTGCATGGAATATCTCACATTATCATGTGCCCATGCTGTATCTGCACTGTTTATAAAGAGAGGATGTCAGTTTCCAGCCATGTCACAATCATGTCACTACACTTGAAATCAAAAGATTTAAGACACTATCTTCAAATTTTATTTTGCCACAAAAGTCAGGGTCATCAAGCGTTTCATGTGAACATATGACATTTCTTTACTCGAAATGATTTATATGGCACTATGTTCTTTCAGGAGTGACCACCACCAATGCTCAGTTTTCATCAGTCGCCATCAGAAATTTTAAAATTTGGCACAAGGTGTGCATGTGTGGGGGGAAAATAGACTCCTGAGCCACTAATTAAAGCTTGAATTCGGCATTTAATTCTCCTAAAAAGTGCTTCATCTCCCCTCCTTCAGAAAGTGCCCAGTTCCCCAAAATTAACGTTCCCTTAACATTCTTTCTCTGAGCAAACTACAAAAGTATATAGAAAACCGTACTCTGTGGTATGGTCTGATCTGATTGAGATGTGGACCCACGGGATAATAACCCTCCATTTGCTGGTATCGGTCTCTGGATTCAGGTACGTAGGGAGGTGCAGCTCCATGTGGAATGTCAATGGGCACAGGACTTCCTCGGACAATCTCTTCTCGCTGGTATGGTTGGGCAGAGGGGTACACACGCCGGCTCTCATAATGTTGGTACATAGGTTGTCCCATGGGAGGATACTGCTGTGGCTGTGTGCCGTACTGCGAATTCACCATACGATCCTGAAGGTAGGGTGGGTAATGGTCTAAGTAAGGACCACCAGGTTCAGGAGCAGATGGTGGAGGTCGGACAAAACGAGACATGCACTGTGAGGACTGAGGAGGATAGTACACACCTGAATTTATGTAACAAGGATACAAAAAGTCAGTACATGATTGGACATATCAATTGTTCACCACAATTTATTCTTAGAAATTTCAGTCTACAACTGTCTTGAAAAGTGGCATCAGTAAGTCATTTCTTGACTACACACCTGTCATCTTAGTGCTATAAATAATAGATTTTCATATAGGAAAAAGTCATTATAAATCACCCACAAGACATTTGAGAATGCAAAGGTTGATCTAGAGCCCAGGGAGTGATGCTTAAATTAACCAAACCAGCCAGTATGGCTGGAGACAAGCCACAGCAGCTGGACATTGAGTCCAGCACAGGTGAGAAGGTGCAGCCTGCTCTCTTCAACCTAGACCACAACTGGGCCCAAAGACTATAATTCCCACAACTTTGCAGAAGGAACTCATTAGGTGTCCCTCCAAGTTCACATGAAAGATCCTGCCAGTCAATGACTAGCACTCTACTGGGCACAAGTAGCCTGAGCAACATTTTTCAAGAAGCTTTGAAGGGAGGAGCTTAAAAAGGGGGAAATGCAGCACAGTTGGTGGCTGACCAGGGAGTAGAACAGACCTCCAGTCCCCAGCCGCTGGAGAAAGGGTTGACTGAAGGCAGGAGCTCCTCAGATGGCTGCTGCTCAGTAGCCTCGCCCTGAAGGAAGGAAGGAAGGGAGGGCCCGAGGCAGACTGCCCTTTTGTGGGGATTATCCTGCTGTATGTGTCTTTGAACTGAGTTAAGGGTCCATAACTCGACAAGAGCACCCCAGCAGGAGAGAGCCTTTCCACAATCATCGGGTAATTGTGTGTGTTAATTCTCCCTTTTTCTGTTAATTGACAATGCTGGAAGAGCTGGAATATCTGGGGCTAAAATGGAGGGTGGAGCCTTTTAGGACTGGAACTGGTATGAGGGAAAAAAAATCTGGACTTTACAGAACAGTGTCCCATATGTAAACAAAGGGGTCATTGTCAAATTTTGTGGATTACTCAGATTTCCCATTTGTACATGAAGTAAAATATTATACATTTTAATTTGTTGCTCTGGGTATACTGCTTTTATTCTTCCTTCTCTTTCCTTTCTAAAACCATATTGAACTCCTTCCATCTCTTTCCCCTCACACTAATTTCTCCTTCCTTATTTCTATTTCTCCTCAGCCTGACTCACGTTCAATCATGAGAATCGTCTCTTCAAAGGAGTACTTCCTTCTCTTATCCTTACCATCCCCATCATTCTCTTCCTCCTCCAGAACTGCCCTTTTGTTCTCTTTTCTAAACTATTCCTATGGCTTCCACTCCCTGTCCACATTCATCGCTTTCTGGTGCAAACATTTCTGCAGCAGCCATGAACCTTTCATCTGAGTACCTCAAAATATTTTAACATCAATGAAATCTTATAAACATCCTGACTGGGAAGTTACTGTTCACAAGGTATCGTGGAAAATGGGATCTTCACTTCATCTCATCCACTTTTTTAATGTGACAAAAGAGACTTATGATGCTGGATGAGTGCAAACTTAACAAAAACCAGAAGAGCGCGTTCATTTAATGGCACAAAATCCCCTCTGGATGTGACTGGCTGAATGCTATCGCAAAAGAAATTTATTACTTAGACTGAAAGAAAATTCTACCACTAAAGTACCTTTTCTCCATGCTGGACTTCCATCTTACTATGCTGTTAGCACATTAAGCATTTATCCTTCATGCTCCCACAGGAAAACCCAAATTTGAGGAGATTAAATAAATCACTAGTGAGTGGGGGAGCACAGGCACAGAACCAATGGGGGGTGGGGGGAGAACAACTGACCCCAACACTCTTACCTTGTGGATAAGGTGATGGCTCAAATGGTGGGGCAGATCCTCTAGGATCCTGATAAAACACATCTCCCTGTTGAGCAGGATACAACTGTGACCCTCGTGGTACCATTTGGAGTTGCTTGGACATTGGAGGCAGGTCTGTAGGTCCTCTCGGGGGCACAGGGTGGGGGTTCACTGGTAAGGCAGAAATAGAGCTCTTGGGGACAGACTCCAGCCTAAAGTAGAAGGAAGACATCAATAATGATTAGGCCACATCATACAGCTTGATGTGCTTTCAATACTGAACATGTCTAAACATTGTATGATTTCAAAGCTCCATCTTTTGATGGCTCTCACCACTTTTCCTTATAAAAAGCAGGAAGTAAAGCATCTTTTTTTTCTAGGCCATTTTTAATCACTAAAGGTGCAAGGCAGGAAAATTGTTGTTTCATTTCTAGAATGGATTTACTATCCCTTATATTTCCTCCATCACACATTTACACAAATGACACTTCGAACAATAGTTAGGAAGATCCGTACAAGTCAGGAGGGGATCCAGGGGCACTGCTGCTAAGGTGGTCGATCTTCCCTGGCTTCAGAGCAGAATCATAGCCGGAGTCGGTCCCTCGGGAGATAAGCTGCGTCACTGTGCTGCCCGTAGACACAATCCCATTCGGCAAGGCAGAGGATTTTCTACTGGGCAAGTCCACTGCCCCTTCATCCGAGAGGATAGCTGCTGAAGGCAGGCCCACCTCATTTAGCTGGCCCAAGGAGGCACTCAGCGGTCTTCTGGGAACCAGGCGTTTGTTCATTTTACGAAATCTTCAGAAAAAGAAATCACACACCAAAAAATGAAACAAGAAACTAGAAGGAGTTGGGTTTCAAGATTTTTCACATAGGTGCTACAGAAAGAGCTTCAATTTTTAATTCAAGCTTCCTGAAGCTTTGCCAGAAATTTACTGCTAATATCTGGCGGACTGGAGTTTCTTGGTGCTATTTGAACAAAATGTTAGCAAAATGTTTTCTTTCAGAAGAATGAGTATGTATACTACATATTCAGCAAAGATTATGTGCCTATATTAAGATGCAAACTAAGTTGTAATGCAATATTAAGGATGGTGGGTTTTTTTTGTTTTTTTTTTTAAATTACAGTGTTCCAGGGATTTCAGAGTTAAGATTCCCACAGTAAACTTAACTTGGTTCTCTCCTTGCATATATACATTACAAGAATAGGGTCTTCATTTTACATGGGAACATACATACATTCAGGTGTTCAAAATACTACATCTGTGCAGTTATGGTTTTAGGAAAAGGGTCACAAGAGACAGTATACAATCTAGTGTATTTACACAGCATTACTGAATGAAAAAATACAGGGGAAGAAAACACTCTTCTATCCTACTATTTGCTTAATAGGTTACTTCACTCAGTGTTGTGTGATCACATTTTATTTTAGGACATTTGCAATATATGCTGAGAGACCTAAGTGCATGCACAATATTCAACACATGATTTGCACTGCAAAATAAACTGAGTGTTTTCTTAAGATTCAAAGATAAAAATTCAAACCTCCCCATCCTCAAATAAATCTAACTCCACCTCCTCTGGCAAAAGCCTGAGCAAATATGAACTTTATAGCATGCCCTGAAAAAAAACAGCAGACGAGAGCTCTGTTGGACCAGGCCGGAGAGCGAATTCCAGGTGAATGCCCTTTACTAAAGATGTCCTGGCATCAGCTCAGTTATTAAAATCTGGAGGTGTGTTAGCTTAAACACAACTGGTCTCTACTATTGGGACTGAACAATAAGAATTTCCTACAAAGGCAGACTCCAAAACTTAGGATTTTATAAATCAAAACCAGCACCTTAATTGCGCCCAAAAGCAAAATCAGAAGCTAATGCAGACTCAACACTGCAGCCAAGATTGCAAGAAAGGCCACTAAAAAAAAGTGGACAGCTGCATTCTGCATTAGTGAGTTTTCTGAGAGGTCTTCAGATGTAGGTGCAAGCACAGCACAACAGTAATCCAAAATAGAGGTGATAAAGGCACAGGTAATGCTTGTGAAGTTTGCATTGAGAGGAACAGTTGTAGTTTTGCCATGCTTAGGTTAAAAAAAAAAAAAAAAAAAAAAGCACTGTTTGTTGTTACTACTAATCCATTCAAAAGCAGGTGAGGATCCATCAGGACCGAAAGAATGCACAGCTCACTAACAGAAGGCAGGCCCAAACCCTTCTACTCAAGGGAACATACATCAACTTTTCCATCTCCTCTGGCTGTAACTCAACCCTCTGCCAGCCAGCATCACGAAGGTCTCATCTGGGTTAAACTTCAGCCAGACAGCCCCAATTTCATCTAGACAGGGAATGTAGAGTGCACATCATTTGGATATGATGAAAAGGAGCTGTACTGTAGAACAGTCTCATTAGCATACAAAGCACTGCAGGCTGGAACACCTCATGTTCCCAACAGTCTCACGCATATTCAATAAAACGTGACAGAATGGATCCTTGTGGCATGTCACATGAGAAAGCCTTCAAGCAGAATAGCAGTTGCACAATATCACCCTCTGGTGGTATTTTTTTCCGCTCAGAGGAAAAAGCCATTCAGGCAGTTCCATGAATCCCTGTTGTAGTCTGCAAATATACCAAGTCTCAAAGGCAGCTAATATACTTGAAACATGGACACTTGGTCTTTGCATATTGCCAGAGAGGATAATCCACCAACGAAACCAGGGTGCTGACTATCTCATAAGCAGTTGTGAAACCAAGTTTGGAATGGGCCCACAGAAGCCTGAGGACTCCAGGCATTACCGGAGCTGCTTCACTACAACTTTCCTCTAAAAAGAAGGCTACACAGGAGACAATCAGCAAGAGGCAGTTTCTTGAGTAGGTCTCTAGCAAGAGTTCATTTAAGATATGCTGACATCTTGCTTCTCTCTTTTGGGAAAGCATTGACCCTCTAATACCAATAATGAATCAAATGGCTCTTCATTGGAGTTCAGCAGAAGGGAAAGGCACAGATCAGAAACACAGTTCAAAGTTATTCAGCCACCTTTAGAACTTCAGTGACCACACAATTTGAAACTCAAGATGAGATGACATTTTCCCCCTCCCAAAACAGAACTACTGCCACTGAAACTGCCACTTGAGTCTGGATACAATAGACCTCATCTTCAAAACAGTTGGAAAAAACAGCACATATACTCAACTCTTTCAGAGCTGAGGTAACCTATATTCACCAGAATACCATCTGTCTAGAACAGCTTTTCCAGTCAGTACTTTATGCACACCACAGTGAAGGAAAAGAAAACCGTTTCCATCACAATGATGGCATAGGACTTTTACTAATTGTGTGTCATAGCTGATCAAACTACATGAGATATCTACATCCGGTACTTCAGCCACTTCCCTGTTTCATCTATCAAAGTTCATCTATATACCATGACCACCTGTGAGGATGACAGGCAGAGCCATGGTTAGGAGTAGAGAAGAACACAATTGAAGACAAACGATAATTATGTTCCCAACTATGAGTACAGTACTCTATCAAGCCGTAAAGCATCCCCTCCCAAGAGATCTTATTCTAATGTATAAGAGGGCACAATTGCGGTTCATTAATTTTATACAATCAAAATGTGGCACTGGTTTTTTCTCTTTAATTTTAAAAGAGAAAATTAAAACATGACCATGAAGTAACATTTCTGAATATCTGAATTGGTATTCTTCCAAGTTAAAAAAGGTAACCTTTAGCTGAGAACACTCATGAGTAATTTCAGCCCAAAATGCAAAAATTTTGAGAAATTATAAGCCATATAAAATATAAATTTTGAACTACAGAATGAAATTCTAATCTTCTTTAAAAGCATCACCGCTGCTTAGCTTTTAAAAAGTGGAAAAAAAAAATCCAGACAGACACAATTCTGCTCTTTCAAATATTCAGCTCTCTCTAAAACTACAGCTTCTATAATTTATTTATCCCAGGATTCACTTGCACAGATGGTATTTCATTATGTTGTAACATTAGCTTTCATGGTTTATAAGCCATTGTGTAAATGACAAGTTCAAAAGAGTTACTGTTGCAAGAAGAGAACTCTGAGCAGGGTTAACCCTGAGTTTCAAGCTCTTCAAGGTGGTGTAAAGGCTTGAGGTACAAGACCAAGAAAGTGCTGAAGATTTGAAAAATTACCAGCTCCAACCTACCTCTCTCACCTGATTATAGAATTGAGGTAACGAGAAAAACACTTGGGAACAGTCAAAGCAGCACACTTGGGAAGTATGTTTAAAATCAGGAACAAAAACAATGCACTATGTATGCTTGCTACATGATTTTCAACTGTTCATAGCTTTATTACGGCCAAACAAGGCAAAGCCTGAATTCTACATTCAGAACTATGTATATGTCAAACTCAAAATCTTAAAAGAAAGCCTGTTGATTGAGAGTTTAAGAAAGCACCAGAAAAACTTCTTAACTGGTAGAACACACCCACCCACCCCCTTCCTCATTCTCAAAATTCTGATAAATGGCTTCCATTGCAAATGGCAGGGGGGAAAAGGCAAGGAAAGGTTTTCACTATACAAGGCACTCTTACTTTTCTAATTCCTCCTGCGAATGTGCGAAGGTGCAGCTGGCTCCACGAGGACACCCTCCTCTCTGCTTCATGTCTCGGCACATGTATGTCTTATACTTGCTGTGTTGAGGAGGCTATGAAGAGTAAAGACAACAAAATAAGGCACTCGAGTATAAATTAATGCACGTAATTAACCAAGAGGGTACTTTAGACTACCATGCTCTCAATAAAATAGGATGTTCAAAGTGAATAATTATTGACAAACTTTATTCAGAGACGACCGTAGGCGAGATGAGCAATTGAAGGAGTTGTGTGTATGATAATTTGATACAACTGTACACTGGACTCAGAATTAGGTACTATGTCAGCAGATCCAGTGACAGATTTAAATGACTCATCCATATCAGTGATTACATAAGCAAAACTATTTATTGAGGCTGGATTGGAACAGCCTCTGGGTTCAGATAACAAGTAAGTGGGGACAAAACATTACTGGCAGTTCTGAAAGCAGCTTGGTGTCTCTTTTCACATTATAAAAAAAACCACTTAGTAATCACAGATTGAGTGTTGGGGCTAAAACACCATAAGGTACTATGGAAGTTACCATCACTGAAGCAAGTCAGAATTTCACATTGAGGGCGGAAAACTTGCTAAATTAACACCTATACCCAAATACCTAATTGATTTTCATGTTAATCTACATTAATCTGAGTTAGCCTAAAATGGCCATTTTTACTTAGCAGACAAAGGAAAAGGGTTCTTCAAAGCCTGCAGAAAATTCATCAAGCTGTTTTTGAGTTACAGATTAACAAGTTATCCCATACTTGAAATTACACCAGTTAAACACTTTACTTTACTCTCCCTCCATCTCAAAATGGCCTATTACTACCCCCTTTGAACTTCACATATTAGTTACCTCTCATTGAAAATTTCTGTGCTGGCAGTATCTGAACAACATAGTAGTTGATAAATAAAATTAAAATTTTTGTGTGTGAACATTTTGGGAGCCAATCTTGGTCCATGGAGGTCAGTGGGATTTTGCATTTCCCCATCACCACTATTTACTTCAATGGGGACTGAATAGTGCATTGTGTATGTGAGCATGTTGCCCTCTACTGGCCAGTTGCACATAAGAAAAAAAGGAAGGAAATTTCTATCAGAGATGAGCAAACAGAGCTCTGCTAGCTAAGTGGCACAGACCTGTTTTTTGGGAGGAGGAGGAGGATTTGGTTTCTTGTCCCAGCTGTGCACAAAAACTATGGATAGGTGATGGCTTCCACACATTAAGGCTGCAGTTACAATCCCATTCTAATGCAAATTTTCATCCCCTTTGCAGCTCCTTGCTTTAAAGACTACTAGGTTTGGTAAATTATGTGATAGGTAACATTCTTTAGCTACCTCAATTAGTTCTTGAAACAAAGGTTTTCAGTTTGGGGCTTTATAATAGCACTTCACCGAGTTCCAAGTGTTTAAGCTTTACAGAACCATTACAAGCAATAAGTACAGGTATTGCGTCCCTGAAAAGGTGCCATATCATGTGTGAAATATGCCAGTTTTTAAAAAAAGCAACATTGGCACAAAGATTTTTTTGGAAAGGGGTTTGCCTATTGATTTCCCTGTAGCTTCAGATGGATTAGATTTTCTTCTCTTCTTCCTGATCTACTATGCAAAGATGTGTGAGATGATTGCCTACTAAGGAGAATACTCACTAGGCACTACAGTGAGACTCCCAAACTAGTTTTATTGAAGTATATTTGAAGCCAGGTCTCCCGAATTGACATACAAATAAATCCATGCCACTTGCTCCAAACAAAATGTAGAGGCTAATAGTTTCCCAGATTCCTAATGCTCCAGTCTTTACCTGCTGCTGATCTGTTCCTTTCTTGCTGTGATTCTGGATGTAATCAACTAGTCCATGTACCACTGTCCTCACAGCAACTAATCCATTTTCTAGTTGTTCCCATGTTGGGGGTGGGGCATCTGCAGCATTCACAAGAAACAGAAAATTTCTTACAATTAAAATTAAGGTGTTTCCATGACTGGTTATCAAGAATATTTCAATGTTAAAAAACCCCAAACACACAAAAATCTAAGTAGCAAGCCTCAAGGAGTGCCTTGCCAGGAATCATCATCAACACCCTCACAGTCTCAGTATTGATCATTTAAAGAACGAAAATTACAATGTCAGAGAATTGAGCTGCACAACAAGCTATGTAAATCAGTATCTGGCACATTTGAAAAAAATTCAGGAAACACTGGTGCTTTAGTTCCTAGTTCAGCTTCAAGAGACTGACAAGCAAAATGACTGAACATATTTTGATTTGGACAGTATTATAGAAACTTGACAAGTGCACAAGTCTTTTGCACAGAAAACATTATCAAATTCTTTGTTTTCACACCACTCTTTTGTACAATGCTGCACCAAAAACATATTGGTTTAATATATCTAACTCTGACAGAACAGCTCTGACGTACATTAGTGTTTGCTGGATTGTTTTTGGAAGCAGGGTCTTTTCTGCACGACAGGCCCTGTCCTCCAGCTGCATGATACCTCTGCAAGGCCCTATATCACACAGACATTATTTTAGGCAATATTCTCTACAAAGTCCATCAACATTACCCTAGCTCAGAGGTTCCCAAACTTTTCTTATTGAGTACACCCTTCTAGATCTACCAGCTGCCCGCATACTCCTACCCTTCTCATCACGGATATTTTGTATTCTTAACACTACTGCTCTTTAGCCATTTGTCCATATTTCACTGTTACATACAAATATAGTTATAGTGCAACGTATACAACCAGAAAAAACACCGAAACAAAACACCCTGATTAAGTTCTGATTTCAGTTAGACTGGACAGTTGCTGGGCAACTGAACCCGCACTGTACGGTGAATGGAGGTGCGGGCTCTGTACATCAGCGTTCTCATTGGTACATCTTGAAGTAAATTAACTACAGCAGAACCTCAGAGTTATGAACAGCAGAATTACGAACTGACCAGTCAACATACACCTCATTTGGAATTGAAAGTATGCAATCAGGCAGCAGCAGAGACGGAAAAAAAATAGCAAACAGTACAGTAATGTGTTAAACGTAAACTACTAAAAAATAAAGGGAAAGTTAAAAAAGATCTGACAAGGTAAGGAAACTTTCTGTGCTTGTATCACTTAAATTAAGATGGTTAAAAGCAGCATTTTTCTTCTGCATAGTAAAGTTTCAAAGCTGTATTAAGTCAATGTTCTGTTGTAAAACTTTTGAAAGAACAACTTTTCGATCAGAGTTATGAACATTTCAGAGATACGAACAACCCCCATTTCCCGTGTTCATAACTGAGGTTCTACTATATTGTATTTTATATAAAATTCCCACAATTTTAAAGCTTCATCTTAGTATCCTATTATGAAAATGCAGTAAGTTAATAAATTAAAAAATCCACCATTACATAGTTTTTCCTGCATCTGCCCCCCCCCTCCACCCCCCCCAGATGTCTCACAAACCCCCCGGGATACACTTACTGCAGTTTGGGAACCCTGTCCTAGATCATCTAGAGGGGCACTCATTGCAAACCACCACAAGTTATTCTCCCCCTCCCCCAATGTGAAACAATACAACTCCACAAATCAACCACTATTTAATACATGACAGAATCAGTAACAATAGGGCCATCAGCCAGAATAGATATTTATTTTTTTATCTGGTTGATTTTTCTTCCAGTTATTTAATCTAATCCAACAGAAGATAATACCACTGGGCGCACACACACACACACGCACACGCCTTGAATCAGTGGATCTCAAAATGCTCTACATACAGGGAGTCTCAAAATCTTGTAACATAGTTAAACGTCATTACACCCATTAAATCTTTAATTTATCAGACACCTTCTAGCTAGTATATTTATGAAAAATGTAAGTTGGGTACAGGCACATCATCAAGATGAGACGTCTAGATCCATTGAAGACTCATCTGCTGGGGAAAGGGAGGGGCACAGATCACACCTACTAGACAGAGGCTGATTATAGAAGATGGAATTGATACATTTGAAGTTCTGCCCTCCTGTAGTTCCAGAAAGTGAAAAAGATTTCTTCCTTTCTCCCGGCACCAGAGTAGGAAGTAGGCAGGGGGAAGATCTGATATTCTCCCTCCCACTCCACCTAGGTACTTTAAAGGGGAGGATTTCCATGACCAATATTCCTGCAGTCACCTTGTGTTATTTTGTTATTCTCTCCTTAATTCTCTCTTCCGTGTCTTAGTTTTCTCAAGTAGCAGCAACTGTCACTGCCCAGAACACTGCCATGGTACTTGATAGTTCCAGCGCTGCCAGGGATTGAATAGCAGCAATGCTGTCAAATTCACTCTACTCTTCTTTCCCACAGGTGTAAACAGCAGCAGCAGAGCTCTTTGGCAGATTCAGGAAGAAAGCACTGCATTTTCAGCTGCTAAGCACTGATTGCAAAAAGAACTTTCCAAATATGGACCAACCGTAAGAGTCAACTTTACAAACAACCAAAACCCCTTATCACTTCCTGCAGTAATAGATAGCTTAGGCCTTCCCACTCACCAGGGAAAGCTTCCCACTCACCACTGGGGAGAAGATTTCATTTAAGGCTATACATTTTATTTTACAGGTGGGTAAAGAGCAGTCTTCAGCCACATGAGCTTAGGTTCCCCTCTCAAGTATCCACCTACCCTTTACCATCTATTTTCTCCTCTCCAATACTTACTCCCCCCCTGCCGCCTTCCCCTCAAGTTTCCTCTCCAATCTCCCTTTTCTTCTTCCTTCCCCACAACTTGGATTCCCCTTCCCAGTCCCTACTTTCTTTCTCCCCACTTCCTTCCCCCTGCACGGTTCCTCTCCCATTCTGTGATCTTAGCGGACTTCAACAGTCATTCAAAATTTCTGAGTAGCCAGCAAAATGGCATGACACTTCACACAATAAATGAATTGCTTGTCTATCTAGCCTGACCTTTTCCTACTCTATGTAGTTCCAGAGTATCAGGATTAAGATTCCTCAATAAGTTTTTCATGGAAAATGCTTTCTGATTAAAAAAAGATGTGTGAAGTCCAAAATTCTGAGAACCTATCACTGTAGAGAATATTCAAGAGACACAGTTTTTGATTAAACTGCTAATACAGTAAGGCCATTCTGTTAAAGCAGACACTACTATGACTTTACAGGATGTTCACAGGTTTACCTGGACTAGGGTCAATATTTGCCAAGAGCTCTAGGTGAGGTCGAAGCCGGTTCAGGTTGGCTGGGTCTCCAGTCCTCTGGAGAGCAATGGTTAGTTCTTGAACACTCTGTGCAAATGAGGCTGGGGTCTGCAACTTAAAAAATTGTAACAATTAACTTTCTACAAGCAAGGCAGCCATCACTGCTTCTGCAGGCTGCTCCAGTAGGTCACAGAGTCATCTTTCCAATTGTTTCATTTCATTTTCACCCAAGATGATTTCGTTCACCATGTGCTCACTTTTTCTTAGCTCCAAAAGGGAACTCCCCTTTTCTATGCAAGACTACACCTCAAGCAAAGATACACCAGAGCCTTGGGTTTTCCCTGGATGTTCTAAGTCATTTATATTCCAGTAGTATCCAGTGACACCAACAAGAATTGGAGCTCCATTGTGCTAGACCTCTACTAAAGGCCCAAAGCTCTCTTTGGCCTCTGGACCAAGAAGTTTTCAACCTAATTTAACACAAAAGTGTAATAAAGAAAAGAAAGGAAGGTGGGGGACGGACGACAAGGTAACAGTAATAAGAATTCTTCCTAGCTACCACCTCTATGGGAAGTGGATTAACTAGGATGATGGGAGAACGCCTCCCATCACCGTAGTGAATAGTTACACTGAAGCTCTCCAGTTGCACCACTAACATTTCAAATGTAGACTAGCCCTTTATTGACTCACGACTAGTATTAGGTTACAAAAGAGCTGGGAAAGAGAACAGATGGTTGGGCTGATTTGAGGTGGCTTTACCTTGTCAATGATGGACTGCATGTGGGATTTGTGGGACTGATCTCCGTATAGCAGCGAGGACCACTGATCCGGTGCAATGCGTAAACCTGCTTCCATGGCAATCTGCACAATCTGGGAATCATGTTCCCTTCGCAGAGCTTCATAGGTACGGAACTCCTCCTTCAACTGCATCAGGGAGGAGTCCTCATCACGTTTAGTCACCTGATGGGGAGAAAGTTGCCCATCACAATGAGCCAGGGATAAATCAGATGGCAGTGCCACCTTGGAGCAAATAAATTCTTGGATTAGTACTAAGTTCCCTCCTCCCCAGAGGGTATTAATTACTATCACGATACTACATAGTAAACACCAACAAATGAGAATGGTTCCTCCTGACTGTAATAAGGGATAAGCGTTCCTATATTCATATATTTAAATGCTATGGAATACATTAACCCAGATGTATGGAACATCATTGACTTGAAGCCTGATTCCAGATGTTAGAGAGAGAAATGTTGCATTCTAGATTTTTTTACACTGGTACCCATCACGATGGTGCCGGAGTTCCTTCACTTCATCTTGGGAATCTCACCAGCAGCAACAACACAATATAATTTCAGTTTAGTCTCTTTTCACTGTAACTTCATTTTGGGGAATTTTTGTGCAAAGAAGAATGGACATACTATAAAAACATGGAGTCAGCAACAGCATAGGCTTCCCTCATGCAGCTGTGCCAATGAATCTCATCCTTGATGTGCAGCACCCCACGCTATTTCAACCCTAACCACCATACATACAACTCAGTCAACATATCCTAGGGTATTCTACCAGCAAGTCTCTCCTAAGCAGACAGAAAATAAAGCTAATTTGTTTGGTGAATTTGGTACTGTTCATCCACTATGACCTAGTCTGAGCCCAAACTTGCATTTCACTTGCAACTTAAAACCAAATTACAGCCAAAGTCCCTTTCTGTGAAAACTCTGAACATTTGGGACTTCACAAATGAGACCCATTCTAAAAATACAAGTGTCTTATACATTTAATCATAGAATCATAGAAGCGTAGACCTGAAATGGACCTCAATAGGTCATCTAATCCAGTCCCCTGCACTCAAGGCAGAACTATGTCATAAATAGATAATTCCTAACAAGATTTTGTCTAACCTGTTCTTAAAAATCTCCAATGAGAGATTCCCCAAGCTACCTAGGCAATTTGTTCCCATGGTTAACCATCCTGACAGTTAGGAAGTTTTTCCCTAATGTCCAATTTAAACCGCCCTTGCTGCAATTTAAGCCCACTACTTCTTGTTTTATCCTCAGAGATTAAAGGAGAACAATTTTTCACCCTCCTCCTTGTAACAACCTTTTATGTACTTGAAAACTTATGTCCCACCTTACTCTTCTTCTCCAGACTAAAAAAAACCCAAACATTCTTTTCAATCTTCCCTGATAGGTCATGTTTTCTAGATCTTTAATAGTTTTTACTACCCTTGTCTGGATTTTCTCCAATGTGTCCACATCTTTCCTAAAGTGTGGCACCCAGAACTGGACACAATACTCCAACTGAGGCCTTACCAGTGCAGAGTAGAATGGAAGAATTACTTCCTGTGTCTTGCTTACAACACTCCTGCTAATACATCCCAGAATGATGTTTGATTTTTTTTTTTTGGTGTGCACGCGCCCGCAATACTGTTGACTCATATTTAGCTTGTTATCCACTATAACTCCTAGATCCCTCTCCACAGTACTCCTTCCCAGGCAGTCATTTCCCATTTTGTATGTGGGAAATTGATTGTTCCTTCCTCAGTGGAGTACTCTGCATTTGTCCGTATTGAATTTCATCCTATTTACTTCAGACCATTTCTCCAGATCATTTTGAATTTTAATCCAAAGCACTTGCAACCCCTCCCAGCTTGGTATTGTCTGCACACTTTATTAGTGTACTCGCTCTGCCATTATCTACATCATTTATGAATATATTGAACAGAACCGGATCCAGGAATGATCCCTGCGGGACCCCACTCGATATGCCCGTCCAGCTTGAACAACTGATAATGAATAACCACTGATAACTAATGGTATAGCATAACTATAAATTCAAAGATGCAAGCAAACAAAAGCCTTCTTTATTTGCATAACAGATTGGTGTGTGGTTCCAAATTTAATGAGGTCTTTGAGCATTTTCTGGGGGTACAACAAGTAAATCTTCCTTGTGTTGTGGAACCTCCAAGCAGGGTTTACTTCATACCTTGAAGCAGGAGGCTCTGTAAAGAAGCTGGACAACATGCCCAATGCTGGTTTTAGAAGCTTGAGGAAATCGTGGCTCCAATCTCTGCACCACAAAGAGAACCAAGACCTTTCGTGACAAAGCAGATCCATCTTCCAGAGCCAGCAGAACCAGCTTCAGTGCTTCCTCTTGCATTGCTGGAAAATACAAAGCAACAAAAGAATAAAAAAAAATGAAACATCAAGAATGATCTTGCATTAATAACATGCTTTCTCTACAAATGGGTGCAGTAGGTAACCGAAAGGGGCAGGCAAAGTCACTCCAAAGCTCCCAGAAGGTAGTGGGGCATGTGGAAGACACTTACAATACTCTTGCATTAATACTGGAAGGAGGGTGCAGGGCTAGGAACCAGCAAACCAGCTGCCTGAGCACCAAACTTCTCAACTACCTCCCATCCTGCTGCAGTCAGAGCCCCCCAGCTTGTTGGTCCCATGTTACAGAGCAGCAGATGGAGTGTGTCCAGCCCTCTTTTTTTTTAAAATGAGCTTAGGAGGAAAAAGGAATCCCCCATTTTCAGAGGAGGGCTGAGCTAAGAGAAGAATACATATCTACTCATCCCTAATGCCATGCTCTCCTCACTAGAGCTACGTTCTTGCAAAACAAGAACAAAC